AAAGAAATTTTTATGACACTAACCAAGATTTTTCATTTTCGTTTGAATCTGATTTTTATAGGTGCTCCTTATCCGCCAACAAATCTTGCCATAACAGATTGTGCTAACCGCAATACAACCCTATCCTGGGTCACTGGAGCAGCTAACAATGCGCCTATCACACAGTTTATTATTGAACAGGAATCAAATCATGAGCCCAGCGTGTTTTATGTCATTCAAAATGTCACAAACCCTAGTGCGACGTCCTTTACCTTTAATCTGACCGGATGGGCGACCCTTCGTTTCCGTATGAGAGCTGTCAACCGCTTTGGACCCAGCCGTGCAAGTGTAGCCACGACTGAAGTTTGTCGAACAGATGTTGGACGTAAGTATATCTTTGGCTTTTCAGTGAAAACATGCCTCTTAACAAACTTTCAGCGATATTTATCCCCGGCAAAGGAGAGTTACAGTGTAAACTATGCTATATTGATTCTGATATTTTTTAAGGTAAAAAAATATAACTATTATTTCGGTATATAAAATTGTGACTTGTCTTGGAACCATTCAATCATAACCTCTTGCAGAACTTGTTGGGTTATTTCTTGATAATGAGTTCGATTTGAGACATTCTTGGAAAGGGAGGTGACTTAAAAAATTGCTTTTTTTTAACAGCTCCAGATAAATATGCAGACAATTTCCGTGGAAATCCCAAGGGAGCGGAGACTCTCGATATTGTTTGGACTGTACGTACACTTATCAATTTGGTTAAGAGCCTTCTCGATCTACATGACTCGTCATATTAAAAGAAAGCCGAATTAACTAACTATTGTTTTATAGTTTATTCAAAATGTTTCTAAGTTCTTTACATCTTTGCCTCCTCATGGACTTTTTTAAAACATTGGTCTTATTCGCCACTCTAGGAACGAGAGGAAACTGGATCGAGTTAACTTTCGCGAAGACTGCCGGGACTTTTACAAGGGACAGGGAAATAAGTTGACCAATAGCTGTCCGGCGCTCTTTTAGTAACAATCCAAGAAACAATTGCGGAAAACGTATCGGCTCCATTTCCCTTTTCGTTCCTATAGTAGCGAATTATAGTTAAAAATTCTTGCGGGGAGCCCCCACTTCCAGACACCCCTAGGTTAAGATAAGTTATGGGAAGAGGCGAGCCTGGAGGCGGAAAGAAGTGGGAGCTAAGGCCCAAGAGTGTGCCATTAGGGACCTTAAGCAAGGACGACGACGACTTCAGTGAAAACGTTGGTAAAAAAATTAATTTGCGTTCTTTCAAACTTAATCGCGTCTATTTGGACCCGCTCAATATGTCAAATGCAGGCGACTTTTCCTGGAGTTGAATTCTTAAGGATTTTATTCAGGTTCAAAAAGATGAAGGAAAATTCGTCGTCGTATGTCCACGTCCTCCATAAAACGTCAAATTAGGAGGTTTCACGTCGTAGTCGTGCAGTGGACGTCAAAGAAATGTACTAAAAAGCGTGATGCACGTGCAGAGCTGTTGTTTTGATCATTAAACCTATTGTTTTTTTGTTTAGTTTTGTTTTTTTTTGAAGTCGTCGTTGTGGTCGTCGTCGTCCTCGCTTAAGGTCCCTATTGCTGCGGAGAGGACAACCTAACTGGTTTTGCTATTAATTTTTTCTTCGCAGGCAATGCCTAAGGTGGATTGGAATGCACCCGGCCTTTACTACATGCTGAAGTACAGACAGGTGGCCGAAGGGAACTCTGAAGTCGAGGAGAATATCCCTGATCCCGCTGTTGACGTTTTTGCGATACCAAATCCCGGTTATTATGAGCTGTGGGAATTTCAGATTCAAGCTGGGAACGAGGAAGGTATGGGGCCTTGGAGTCCTAAAGTAGAATCACGTTCGGGTCAAGACCCGCCCGAAGGAAAGCCAGGAAATGTAAAAACTGGAGGTGCGACCGCACGCACTGTTGAGTTGTCATGGCAACCTGTTACTGTCACTCGAGGAAGTGTGGATGGTTATAAGGTGAGAGCAGTTTCGTTCCTTTTGCCTTTTTTTTTCCTTTACCTTGAGTGAGTCAAAAATGGAAAGATACCCCTGGAGCAAGATTTAGTTAATGGTCGTTCAAACTGCTGCGAACAGATTTTAAGGGGTTGTTACAGCAACTTGTTAATTTGCTTAGCTTACACTTGCTCGGAAGTCGGCCTTGATGAAGTTTCTTGTTCTTGTAGCCTGGGAAAACAGCCGACATTTCTCGAAACACCACCACTGGTTTCCCCGCAAAATGACGTCTAAGAAACGAGCGCAGAAATTCCATACTGATGACGTGTCATCACTACCCTGATCTAGATAGTGCCTCTGATTGGTTGAAGTTACTTTCTCTCGCGGCACGGCTAATCAGAAGCACTACGCAGATCAAGATAGTAACACGTCATCAATATGGAATTTTTACGCTCGTTTCTCAGACGTCTTTTTGCGGTGAAACCAGTGGTGGCGTCGCGAAAGGTCGGCTGTTTTCTAAGGCTTCTTTTATGGATTGGTAAGATTTTGTTATCGTCATTTTGGTCCTGTTGCACTGACATTGATCGAATCAGACAAATACAGCGAGTCACAACCAATAGTGGGTGTCAAGAATTGTGTTTTACAGTGGCGCAATTTTTGTTTTTAGATTTATTACTGGGGTGAAAGTCAGCTGAATGTAAGACGCCGACGTGAAATTCCTGCTTATGCCTTGTCTGTAAGTGTCCCAGGAGGCACCACAACTTCGCATACTGTAAAGAGTCTTACGCCTTACACTAACTACAACTTTGCCATCACGGCTTACAACAGTGGTGGCGAAGGGCCGGCCAGTGACGAAGCCTTTGCAGCAACTGATGAGGATAGTAAGTTATAGATAGAGACCTTTAGATGCTAGGACGAGATTTAACCTTTACCACGCTCTAAACTACAGAAAGACACTGACAGGTCTCTAGCTTTCACCGAAGTAATTTCTTGGAACATTTGGTAGTTCAGATTGGTTTGTGGTATTCAAAAGTTACCATATAATTATCGAATCATTGCTAATATTGTGCACCCAATGATCCTAGATATCTTTGCGCCGAGAGCTTAGTGAATTTTTGCGTAAACTGTCCATTATCGTCATTATCATCATCATCGTCCTCCTCCTCCTCCTCCGCCTCCTCCTCATCATCATTATTTTTATTACTACATATATTAGGATCTAGTGTAAAAACTATTGAAGTGTGTGGAAACTTCACCTTCCTCACAGTTTTTTTGTTTTTGTTGTTGTGTTGTTCAATGTTTTTGTTAAAAGTTAGATTTTTGTTTTAATGGCACTTTGGAAAGTCAGTAGTGCCTTCGTTTATCATGGAAGTTATATAATTTTCATAGTTTCCGTAGTAGAAAAAAGAAACTTTTAGGACACTAACCAAGATTTTTCATTTTCGTTTGAATCTGATTTGTATAGGTGTTCCTAATCCGCCAACAAATCTTGCCATAACAAATTGTTTTAACCGCAATACAACCCTTTCCTGGGTCACTGGAGCAGCAAACAATGCTTTCATCCAACAGGTTTATTATTAGGGACCTTTAGCATCACGTTTTTCATGGGAAACTGCAAACCGCAAACCGCAAACCGCAAAATGTCTCGTGACCACGGCCTTGCGGTCACGTTTGCAGTTTGCAGTTCACGTTTGAACCGCAGGAAGGGATTCCAGCGGTAAGTGATTTACGGCAAGGTTTTTTGCACAAGAAATTGTACAGCCTCGCGTTTAAAGGTCTGAACTAGCTTTTTATATCCGTTTGCGATGTGTTTGTTGGATTTTTGATCTCGAATCAATGAATTATTGCTGAGTTTTGGGCGATTAAAGTGATGCACTGCGACTTGATGAAAACAACATGGCGGCCCTAAACAATGAACGCGTAGTTCAAATCAATTTTATATTCCTTTCTGCCGTACTAACAAAGGAAAGTATTCTGTTCCAATCCAAAGTTAAATTTTTTTTTCTATCCTGTCACTGAATTCATAACTTAATTCAGTCTCTGTTTAGTTCCTTTTTCAACGTATCACTCCGCGAATTTCATTTTATTTTGCTTATTTCTTAATTGAGACTGGGGAGCCCAGGCTTCATAAAGCCTTATGGTTTCCTCTGGGCTCCCTTGCAACGTTACAATCCCTATATGTATTCTTGTATTGTATTATATTTTGGCTAAATAAAAATGAACTGAACTGAACTGAACGCCTTGCTAAAGTTTGAAATCTCAGCAACGCGAAATTGCAAACGCGTAACTGCGGTTTGTGGTTTGCGGTTTGCGGTTTACCTGATGCTAAAGGTCTCTATTGAGCAGAAATCTTCGTACGAGCCCAACGTGTTTTATATCATTCAAAATGTCATAAACCTTAATGCAGCATCGTTTACCTTTAATCTGACCGGATGGGCGACCCTTCATTTCCGTACCCTACTTCAAACCCCTAACCTAAAGGGTCAGAAGCCTTCCTCAGTCTGCCCTTTCACCCTCCACCAATGCAGCATAGTTAGACCCACCAGGAGGTGAAAACCCCGGTCGTTTGATTTCTAGACTCAGTTATAATGAGATCATTTGTCTTTCTAACTATTTCATCGTCCGGCGAAGTCCTTTACCAGTCAAATGAAACCCCTTCGGCATAAATTTTTAATAGTACTATTTAGAAATTTGTGAAATCTTCGGTGGTCGACTGTATTAGCAGTCAATGCATCGTACATGCATGCCTTTGTGTGCAAAACATAACCCTTACATTATTTGTAACCTTTAAGAAGGCGTGCTCGCCTTTGCTACTGTTATAATTTGTGCCATACAGCCAGGTTTTCAAGTAGTATATCAAGCATGAGACGCAGTGTTTCATCACCAGATGAAACACTGCGAGGAGAGTTGAAAATACGACGCGCAGCGGAGTATTTTTCACGAACCTCGAGGTGTTTCATCCGGTGATGAAACACTGTGTCGAATGCTTGAGATTACTTCTCAAATGAATCATTAATGAGTTTGAGAAATAATCGTCCGGATTGTCTCGAGCGCCCGAGGCATCTCAACATGTGTTCACGTGATTGAGAAGGTCATATGCGAACACCTGTGGCGCCATGTGGGACGATGGGACGATTGGGCGATCAGAATTTTTTTGTTAAATTTTACTTTGGTCACTATTGGGATTGAAAGGGTTTAGACACGCAAGCTTCACTATCACGATAAGTGTCAAGCCCGGAGAAAAGGTTCGCTCTTTTAAAAGTCAATTAAATTGTCATTTCTTATTCCTCCTTTTAGAGCCTGGTCCACCATCCGAATTTAACGTCTATGTTTTCGCAAAATATATCCTGGTTACATGGAAAGCTCCCGTGGAACCGAACGGCGTTGTTACAAAATATCAAGTGAGGTCGGCGCAGTACGAAGGTTCGCAGCCAAGCGACGATCTTCAGGTATCCTGGCAGGAAGTCGGGCCAGGCGTTTTTAGGAAGCTGCTGGACAATCAGACGCCGGAGAGAAATTATGTTGTAGAAATACAAGCACAGACAAGCAAAGGGTGGGGAGATAAAGAAAGAAAGACAGCTCGAATTGTGGCATATGCTCGTAAGTAATTTTTCAACATTTTATTGATTAGTTCTGGAGTCAACTCTCTCATTGCGGTGACCTCACTGAGGGCTTAAAAAGGCCCTTGAATTTTTACTCCATGTCAGTTGCAGGCTTGTCTTAATTACGTTTTAGTTACAATCAAACTTGCCTGGCTCCTTTACCATCTAGCAAGTGAGTATGAAATCTTTCTTGCCGGGAAGGAAAATCTAATGGTCCCAGACATCCAGACGGGGCATGCATTCTTTGAGCCATCCCCCCATTATGGATACCTTGATAATGGGGACAGCAGTTAAATCCCCGGTAAAACTGCATTGCACTTTGAGGTGCTTTTCTTTGCCTTCACTTCACGACGATGATCCGCGAAATTTGCTAATGCGAGGCGCAACAAGCTCAGAAATCCTCGCTGTTCCCACTAATAATGCGCCCTTTTATTCTAGAGCGCGTGCAATCCTTGCGCCTGCGTGTATGTTAATACTAATGGCCACAAGTGGACTGTAGGGAATCTTTCAGTTTGTTATGAATTGCTTTAAGTTATATGTAGATGCCTGTAAAATGATTATTTTTTTCAGCTCCCGCCAAACCAGCAAGACCCACCGCTGAGGGAAACGCTGTGGATAAAGTAAGAGTTACTTACAAATTTGGCCTGGGTGGAGGCTACACGCATGAGTTCTTGGTCATGTATCGAAGGAAGTGTAAGCATTTTTAAAGATGTTAATAAATGAAAGCTCGTTAACCCCTACACACCCAGAGTAAATGACTGAGGCCTGTTAGATTGTTCTAACATTTGAGTACATCGTTCTATCTTTTGAGTCTGAAGACAAAAATTCTATGGTGTGACAATTCAAATGAAACCTCTATGGTTTTACTTTCACTTTGTACTATTCATTTCTTTTAATTTCTTTTCTTTTCTTTTTTTTTCACATTGTACAAATTAATTAACTTTGGAATTTTTGCCACTTTGGGAGTGAAAGGGTCACACGTTACAGGCAAGGTCGACGCTCTTTTCCAGACAACTTCTATGACGGACACCTTTTTCTTCAACCGTTGTCTTTGGCTTTCCATAAGGCTGGCACCTCTGCAAGACGGAGACTGAGTTGCTAAATTAAGTGTTACATAATAATTCAATAAGTAAAAATATGGTGACGTCGAGTTTGACGTTCCCAGTTAATTATTAGAAAAATTCGTTTAGTTTGGCGGTCATAGCTGAACAGTTTGGAAGTTATTCAACTTTTTAGTGGGGGGTGGGGGGAGGCTAAACCCTCTTCTCCCCAGTATTACTAGGGTTAAACGAACAAACCAATTGGAGGGGTGAGGGCTATTTAAAAATTTGTATATGTTGTCATGAAATTGCACGAGTAAGAAGATGAGGAAGAAATGAAACGTCTCCCTCAGTTAAGTAATTATCTAAAATTCTGTATTATTAATTTATTTTGTAGTGGTAGAAGAAGCTTTTCAGAACACCAGCTGGGTGAACCATTTTGAAACGCAGAGCATCGAGATTGGAGGCTTAAATAATGAAATTTACGAGTTTAAAACTGTTGGAAGAAATGATTATCCAGATAATAATAAAGTCAATTCAAGATCAGAGAGCCCCGCCAGTAACGTGACGGAAGGACGACCTCTCCCGTCAACAACCAGTAAGTATCGGACTTCACTCTCAGAAGAAAATGCTACAATCGGCGACAAAATTACACTTTCTCCATAAAGGGTTCCTCTTACGTTTTGCCTAATGCCTATTACGAATCAATTTAACAACTAGCTCCAAGTAGGGTTTCGAGCTCAATTGGTTAGAGGGCAGCAGTCTCGACGATTCATAATCTGACGGTTAATTCAAACTATACCGGCTGCCTCGCCGTTTTCTTCTTTGACAAATTAAAAGTTACGCTGAGCGAAACAGTTTAAGATCGTACTAGAAAGTCGCCACTGTGTTCATTTCGTCTCCTCGCCACGTCAGTGTCCACTGCGACTTCAGATTGAAGATTATGCACTAATGAGAAGTAATCTGCGATACGATACTGATCTACGATACTGAGATAGGCTGATCGCTACAGAGGTACGCGCCTCTCTATTGAGCTCGAGAATAGATTCCTTTTTTTAGGAAATTCAAAAACGCTTATCACGGTACAGATATCCTCCCAGATGCTAGCTATGACACATCAAATATCTTCTTTCACTCTTGTTACCGTTCGTTGATAACTCTCGCTGCTAACTTTACTCATTGAACATTTTCAATCAAAATGGAACAGCTGTAATTGTTTATTCAGCGTTGACATGGCTTGCTACTCTGTTCTCAACCACCCTCCCCTGCCCCTTTAGGGTTTCTACACGCCCCAGCATAACGAATAAGGACGCCTAATTGGCTAATTAACAATTATTCGGCGAATGCGAAGTTAATATTCAACAGTGTTAACTGAGTCTTAGGTGGAAATTGTTTTATTATATACACACCAAGTGATATTAGCAGAATCGGAAAATAAACCATTAAAAAAACCATTAGTTTGATTGACGGGTGAATTCATGCGTGATCATGTAGCCGTAAACAGTAGATGCGCAAAAGTTACATCTTTACAGTATCTTCAAACACGGCAAATCGATAGGGCTTAAAAACGGCTGATTGGTCGAGAGGTTGTGACGTAAAAAGTGATCTCGTAGTTACTGCGCATGCGGAAAGTTAAGAATAAATGATCTTGTTGTCAATATGGCGGACGATCGGTGGCCGATTGGGAGCTGTATTTCGGCGCATTTTCCAAATTTCTTACCATATCAGGACGTGTTGCTACAGTAGTTTAGATTTATCAGTTTGTAATTCCTGATACACAAAACATCAATAGATAAAAGAGCAACATGTTTTGATGGAAGCAAGTGTCAAGGGAATCAACCGTCAACAACAATTTCTAGGACCTAAAAGATTATTCATGGAAAGAACGCATTTACTTCAGTAACAACTGTTTTAGTAACATCCATAAAGATACATGGATAGAGTTGTTTATTCAGAACCCCTTGCAGCTAAGAGCTGGATAACAGGATCGTGCGCGAATTACACATAATTAACACTTATCTTATGACAAAAAATCTAAATATTTCACAGATACAAATTCTGACAATCTTTTTGCCTTACACAATTTGTTATTATAGTTCCGGCAGCTTCGTAACGAGTACTAGTGAACGGTAGTTACCCTTCCACTCATGGCAAGGCCAAACACAGGATTGGATGGTTTTAAATTACGCATAAATGATTCGCAAGCAGTAGCCCTACGGCCTTCTAAAGACGGCAGGCCACTGAATATCAATGCCTCGTCATAATGTAAATTCGGAAGAATTGTCCTAAGGGCGCGCTTTTGAATTCCCTCCAACGCATCAGACAGATAATTTGGCAGATTCGCGAATACAGCCGAGGCGTATTCAATTAATGATCGTATAAGGGAGCAATATACTGTGATTAGGTCTGATGTCGGCAAGCCGCACTTCTTTAGAGTTCTAAGTGCTAGAGGCGACGATTGGCTTTTTTGATTATGCAGTCACAGTGAACACCCCAAGTCAAATCCTCAGAACTATAAACTCCGAGAAGTTTGAAGGATTTGACGCGCTCGATAACAACTCCGCCTGTACCGATGGTGCGCCAGGTGCAACTATTATAATCAAGAAAGTCAATCGTCATGGCTTTACATATAGCTGGATTAAGGCGCATGTTGTTGCGGTGAGAAAAGTACTGGATATCATCCACAATACAATTCATATATGATGTAGAGTTTCTAGGGATGATTTCTAGAATCGTTAGATCATCCACTTACTTTACGCGCTTAGGCCATGTGCTCACTAGGTCGTTGACCGTAACAGAGAACAGTACAGGCCCCAATTTAATCCCTTGGGGAATACCTCCATTCAGCGAGCGGATATAAGAAGAATCGGAGCCTAGGCGAACGGACCGTGAACGACCTTGGAGGAAAGCAGCAATCCACCTTACAAGGCAAGGGTGTAGGTTAGGAAAAGGTGTAAAAAAGCGTGTTGCACGTGGAAAGTTGTTGTTCTGCTAATACAAACCTGTTGCGTTTTCGCCCTTCTCTTTGCCTTTTGGCTGTTTTGGTTTAACCGATAACGTCTGCCACTATTCTTGTAATTGTAATTATTGAAAACAATAAAAAAAAAAAAAAAGATTACACGCGAATCTATATATTTGTATTCCAGAACAAGGTTAATCGAACGAATCCTAAACAGGGCGCCCTAACCCCACCGCTCCTAATACTTAATATACGTACGGTACATTCAAGGTAACTAGAATCATCCAAAAATACCGCTTTTTACTGCGAATGCTAACAATTCTCCTCTCGTACATCATAGCAATCATGCCGTAAAACAAGCAACTAGTCGATTTACACAAGCTTACTTCTTCACAGGATCGTACGAAATGATTTGCCGGCACTCACCAAGAATCTACGTGAACGGACCCGTCAAGTGTTTCCCGTAGTTCTCGCGGTAGCTTATTATTTTCTTCAACTTCTCCTTCGTACTTTTTAACCATTCTTCAACAGCCAAGGGTTCATTGTCATATACCATGTCATTTTTCAGGCTTTCAAATTCTGATCAACGAAGCTACCCCTTTCAAAGAAGAGCTCCCATCTCTTAAATAAGCGCCCCGGGTGCTACGTAATCGTTAAAGCTACTTTTTCAATGTGTATAACTGTTACGGTTCTTAACATTTATTATTGCTTGTATCCCTCAGCAACAAATGATACTGCACAGATTGCCTGGATAATGTTGGGAGTTTCCTTGGCTCTTTCTGCTGTGGTGGTGGGGACAATTATCTACCGTAACAGAGCAAAGAGGAAAAAACGGTATTTCATTCAAATGTTAATATCACTCAAATTTAGAATATTATGCTTTGTTGCTGAATTGTTCCATGATAAAAACATACATGCGGAAATAGGCGATATTGTTTTTATGTAAGTGTCTGGGCATGTCTGTCTGTTGTCGTACTCACTCCCAAGCCACAAGTGACCTTTCTTACGGGCCAAGGCAGTGTAACTTTTGACTAAATTGTATCAACTAGGAAGCCGTCGCTGATTTAAGCATTATCACAAGCCCATAATTAATGACGAGAAATTTCATTTACATTTAATTTGCACTTTAATCCAGTGAGTCCGACATAACTGAGCTTATGTTGCTGGAAGTCCCACCCGAACAGGTTACTACCATGGAGGAACTGGGACGAGGTGCTTTTGGAACAGTTTATAAGAGCGTGATGAGGAGGCTACCTAAAAAGATGACATCCTCCAAACCCAAGGATCACATTTTGGATTCGCATGAGGGACGTATTGTTGCTACAAAAGTTCTACCAGGTGCGTGAATTCAGAATATGGCAAAAAGATGACTTACTCTTTCAACAGACGTCTCACAATGCTAAACTGATTTACGGGAATGACTCTTAACAGGTTTGAATTATTTAATTCGATAGACAGCAAATATTATATTGTGGAAAACAGCATCTCAATACCCCAATCCGTAACAGGGTAATGTACCTCAGGGGTCCATTTTAAGTCCTTTATTTTTTCCTATGTATATAATGACCTCCCTGAGTGTTTGCAATTTACTAAACCAAAACTGCACGCTTGTAATACTTAAGTGTCGCCGCGGGCCTCCGCTAAATCGACTGTCGGATAGATGCTTTGTAATGAATATATTAATGTAGACATAAAAACCTTCAGTGGGATCGGTACATTGATACGGTGTGCTCCAAGGTTATAAGTGGTCTTAGGCAGACTCAAGTTTATGTGTCATTAAATGTATTGAAAAGTGTAGGGCGCTTTAATCTAGCCTATCTTTCGCTACTATGACGCTGAATGGGTTAACCTGAATATAGGGCTATTTTAGTCAAAAATTGCAAAACAGTGCAGTCCGCATAATTACTCCTCAGGGCTGTGACACGATATCAAATTATTAAACCAAAATGTTAGTGCATGCCTTCGTATTGTGTAGATTGGTCGTTCGGATTCTCTTCTGTAGTCTTCCGAAATGCGTTATTCACAGGTTTTAGTCAGTTGAGGACTTTATCTGATCGTGTGTGGTTGTGAATATGACCACATTACTGCTTTACCTAGAGAATTACATGGGCTTCCCCTGGAGCATGAGTGGTGGATTTTAAATTATTCAAGTCCGACCTACTATAAACGTTATTTGTTTCAAACTTACAAGCCTTTTAGGAGTCTACGATCATCAACCATGAACTTGTTAGTGACACCCAGATCAAGGTTAAAATTTTATCGAAAGATCATTGTGACCCTAAACTTTAGAATGATTCTCCAGAGCACTTACAGTGTAAAATGGAGTTTGAATATTCGTTAAAGCTTTAAAAAAAACCTCTAAGCGTTATTTTTATTTCTTAGTTTTGTTTAACAATTTTTCTTTTTTGTAATGTCACGAGTTACTGCTTTCTAGTCGTTTAGGTTGAAAACATTTATTGTAAAGCGCCTTAGGGCTTGATGATGATAATGATGATGATGACAATGATGACGATGACGGTCAGCGGAAAACACTTGATGAAACCCAACTACAAAAGCATACTGGTATATCCCTGTCTATGCAGAGTCAATGAAAGGGAGCCAATTGGATAGATACGTTAGGATTACAAATGCACACTCAAGGAGGGGGACATTGGGGGGTATCCAATACCGTAATACCGTAAGAAAAATTGGCAAATACCGAAATACCGTGTCGAAAATCGACGAAATACCGATACCGCATTTATGATCGGTCACGCTTACTTAACGTTGTATCCGTCTCGCGTATTTTTTATCTCAAGCATGCATACACCAGAAATCAACCTTAGTCTTCGCGAGAAAACGTGAGATCCGAATTGATCCGTATAACGATCTAAAAGCCAGGTTATTGGATGTCCTACTAATTTCATTTACCGTTAAGTCTAAAGTCTTCCAAATATTGACCTACATTAGACAGGAGAGGCCAAATGAACGGTACCGCAATACCAAGAAGGATCTTCTTTTACCGAGTACCCTTAGCCAGAAGGATGAAAAACCACATACCGCAGGGCTGGATGATACCGCAATACTGGACATTAAAATCAAAATTACCGAAATACCGCTTGAAAAAAAGCTCAAAACCGCGATACCGTAAACCTCCATGTCCTCAAGGAAAGTCATATGACTGGAGATGAAGTGCCTGTGGGTCGAGAATAGGGAAGCAATTAAAGAGCACAAAACGTGGCAGCTAGAATTAAAAAGACAAGTTTCCGGACTAAAAGGTCATCCAGTATTACATCATGTTACCTGTCGTGCTTGGTGATCGCTAGATGAAGAGAACTAACGGTTTTTCTTTGAGACTTTGTTTTATCTATGTCAGCAAGAGCCACAATATTATGGCTCTTGATGTCACTTAACTTAGGGAACCATTTTTTTAAAAAATGGATTTTTTTTCTCAAGCAGAAATTAGGACCTGAGCTATTGACTATGTCTTATTTTCGTAGGTTAAATATACTTTCATTTTAATTAGTTCTTTTTTTCTTTACATCTGGTTTTAGTTGTTTAGTACTAACTGATATCGTATAGCCTATACGTAGGTCACGGTTACCTGGATTTTCTTTAAATGTCTTTTGTTTTTTAGAAAATGCCACGGAGGAGGACAAACGGCAGTTAGTTCGGGAAATTGAGCTGATGAAGGAAGTCGGAACACACCGTAATATTGTGAGCATGCTCGGGTACTGGATCCAATCACCTCCCATTATGTTAATCATGGAATATGTTCCAAACGGAGATCTTCTTCAGTGGCTCAGAAACAAAAGGCGACAGGTATCATTACTTTACTTTTGTTTAAAAAAATATCTTCTCTCCATTCGCAATAGGGCTACGTACAGGTATTATTTATAGACCTCAAACTCAGACAAACAAATTCCTCAATTTTGTTTGTTTTTTTGTCATTGAAATGTCAAGTTTCTCTGACTTTTGTCAAGAAAATAACAAAAACTGCAAATTTCAGACAAACATGGCAAATTAGTCACTCTGAAGTCATTAGTATTCTGTGCTGCACTTTAATTTTCTAATGAACATCGTCCTGGGCGTGTATGTTCTTTTTCTTACATTGTGTGGTCTCTTAAGGCAGAAGGAAAATCGTCTAACTCGTCACACGTCTAAAAACCAGCTCCTTCAGTAAAAATATTAAGATGCTAAACAACGTGATGTGAGAATATGTACATGTTACCTATGATTTAAGTTCTCAAAGACAGAGGTGCGCTTAAAAATGTAAATATCAATGCAACCGGATATTCGTACCTTTCCAAACGCGGTTTATACAGCCAGACTGTTGAGATGCTATTCATGTATTCGGAAAACAAAGATCGGTAAATACACAAAAATTTGTGTTCAACACTGAGTTAATAAAGTCAAGCTTGCCCCGTTAGGATCAGTTAAGGTTTCCGGGAAACTGCCCACCTATCCCTCCCCTAAGCCATATTTTGCCCTAAGTGAGAAGGTCGTGTTAATGTTGTCTTAGGGGAGAGGTAGTTGGTCAGAAAAGAAGAAACAAACCTTGACGTTTTGAGCGTTTCCCCCCAGGGGGTACTCCCGCCCGATAGGATGAGGATGTCCATCCTTAAATATGGTATCCTTGTTGCCCTTATTAGCGCAGTGTTGCCGATGTGATCCTTAGATAGGGTACCGTTATTCTATCAGGGAAAATTCACGTGCGTTAATGCCCAACAAACGAGAAACAAATCTTAGATCTGTTAAGACTGAACTTTACCCTAGAGGAGCGCGATCTTTTTCTATTAACTCTTAGGTTTTGTTTTTCCCTTGAACTGGGCCTCATTTTTCTTTTTTGGGTCTTCAATAGGATATCATATTGGTTTTCGCTTGTCTCAACTTTTCGAAATTTTTTGGAGTTCCCCCTCCCCCCAGGAGGGTGTTAACCTTTTCTGGTCAGAATGAATCACGGGATTACTAATGGTGGAGCTACTCCATTGTTTGAACATGGTAACAAGACAAGAATAGTTTACTTCAACGAACGCTTTTCATTCTAGTAATTTACTTATTTCTTTTCTCATTTTCCCATGTATTCGCCAATAGTTGAGGTCCGCCATTTGATAAACCGTCCTTGATTCGAGCTGACAAAGGGCTTCTACTCAAAATGCCCGTCAGCTTTTCGATCCACGGTCTTTCAATGGTGGCAAGATGAGTCATTCAAATCAATCGATAACACCAGAGTTTTGCTTTTCACCCTTCGACCGACGTAGTAGAAAAGTTTCTTTTTAAAAAACCCTTCAAAATATTTTGGAGAGATAATGATTGTCCGTCCAGAGTTTCAAAACCGCCAACCGGTTAGCTCAATGGGATAAGCGCCGGTCTGCTGAGCGGGAGGCCGTAGGTTCAAACCCCGGCCGGAGCAACACTCAGGGTCTTTAAATAGCTGCGGATAAAGTGCTGCCTTTGGATAACATCTACAAACGGTTTGACTTTCTAAATGCACAGGAATTATTCGTAAATCCAGTTTCTATTTATCCACGAAAACCTTACGAACACTATATTTTTCTCTAGTCTATCCATACCTTTTTTACTGCAACTTAGTTTGGGCCTCTACTTACAGAACTAACCTTATTCGTCTTGAGATTTTACAGAAACGAGTGATCAGAACTATAGCTAAGACCACTTTCGATGCACATACTGATCCAATCTTTCAAAATCTTGGTATCTTAAAATTTCATGATATATACTTAATACAACTAGGCTTATTCATGTACTCCTATCAAAACCATACTCTACCTTTAAAATTTCATTGTAAATTTACCTTACAAAGTCAAATTCATTCGTATAATACAAGAAACTCGTGTAAATTTCGTCTGCCTTTCTGTCGTACTCGAACCAAGCAATTTTCCGTTTTTTATCAAGGACCTAAATTTTACAACACCTTAAACACCAACATCATCAACGCTTCCTCACCTTTCTCCTTTAAAAGAGCACTTAAGGCATTTATTTGTAATAATTATTAGTATACTGCAACAAAAATCTTGGGAAAAAGCCTTTTAATATTCAACATTTGTACATGTAAACTTCCGTAATATTGATTAGTTTAATTTTTCACCTGATATTATACTGTACCCGTCGCCGTAATTTTTATGCCATCTTCGAAAAATTGTAATTGAGGAGGCCTAATTAAACAGGGCTCTATAGTTTCTTTTAGGCCTCCTCGCCATCTCTTCCTACATTTTTTTTTTTTCTTTTGGCATCTTTAAGTAATGTAATTGTGTGGCAAATAAATAAAAATACCTAAAAATACCTAGTCTTCTCGGATAAGGACGATAAACCGTAGGCCCCGTCTCAAAAGCCCTTGCACATGTAATAAATCTGTGGGACGTTAAAGAACCCACACACTCTTGGTAAAGAGTGGGGCACGTAGTGCCGGGTGTAATGGTTTATCTCACTTTCACACTCATGTATGGGGCATCATTACACGTTCCTTCATTACTTGTAAACTGCACCTTAAGCAGTCTGGCAAAGTCGCCCAAACAGTGTTGTAAATTATCCCTGAAAAGCCCTGAGGGGAGTGGATAATATGATAATTACACACACATTACCTTTATACGTCCCGAAAGCCCTGTACGAGAAATGACGTCACAAGTGACATTAGGTCAAACCAAATATCAAGAAGCACACGTCGCGTTTTTGGGACTGTGTATCTTAAAATGTCATAGAAAATTGTAACAAAGCAGAAGAAAAGCTTTGTTTCTATTACAGTTTATATTAATCCATTTGAATCTTCCGTGGAGGATTTAAAGAAAGTTGGTCCATACGGTATTCCCGGCTAGATTTTCAGTTTAACGTCGGTTAAGTAATCTTTCAAATCACATGGATTTCCTATAAATGGGTAAAAATATTTCGACCAACCAACTGATAGTGGTGAAATTGTTTCTGCTGACAAAACCCTTTCATGATCAGACGGAATTCATTTCTCAATATTTTTTTTGCAGCTTACAATGAAAAAGAGTTGGCAAAGTGATGTCGTTGAAAGGCTTAAGCCTCCTGTTCCTGAGAGACCGAAATTGGTGTCCAGGAACCTGCAAACAAAAGATGTCCTGGATGAAAACCTGAAAGAGGAGAACAGGGAAAGAAATGATGAAGAAAGTGGAAAAGACGGTGGTTATCATTCCAGCGGGACGAAGGAAATTAAAATCGACCTGGACGACGTTGAAAGAGGAATTATAATCAACGATGCTCCTCGATCTGAGATGGAACCTCTCTGCTCAAGCCTGGAAGACGAAGATGACAAGGAGGAAGAAGAGAGTGACGATGTCAACACGTCATTTCTACAAACTGAAGAGCGAAAGGGACCGGTTACGTCGGTGATGGTGTTACCTTCGATCAGTATTGCCCATTTCTCCAAAGAAAACGAGCTCACTCCCGCTGAGCCTTTAAGAAACGTCGAGGAAAATATCACCATCGAGAAAGAAGAAGGCAGCTGTGAGGGCAAGGAAGATGATGAAGAAGACATTTCTGGGAAAGAAGTTCTATGTTATGCGTGGCAGATTGCTAAAGGGATGGTAAGAACTTTTTCGACTGAAGAATGTCTTTAGCAATTTAGTCATCGTTTGCAAATCACAAAAATCTACCTCTTCCTCGTATTTAAAATACTGTACTACTAGTTTTTATGTGTCTGCAAGTATTATGCTGTCCGGTCATGAGACGGCAAATTTTTCAAGCATTCAAATTGCTGCGTTAATTATAACAGACACATAAAATTGAGCCGTTTGATTTTAAAAAAGGTCTAAAACGAGTTTTTTTTTATAGCCCGAGAAGCCTAAAAATCACATGGAGCCGTCGTGAAGGTACCTAATGAAAAATCAGGTCCGTTCGTATTTTCCAAAAGGCGTCTAATGAATACAGCCATATGACCTGGATAAGGCTAAGCTATCAGTCATTTAATTTGAATCGTGCAAGCCTGACATTCAGGGACGTAGCCAGCTTTTTGGCTAGTTGTAGGCCTGTCTGACTTTCACTTCCACATATCCTGAAAATTGTACGCATGACTAGTACGCACTGACCTCACCAACACTTTGAGCTCTTGTGTTTTTTCAGCTCACTCCAACAACGCATAATTTATTGCAAGCAGTAGAGTGATCAAACCAAAAATTTGAAGGCCTGGGCCCACAGGGCTATGAGCTGGCTACGCCCCTGAGAAAAGAAGGGAAGTAGAGGGAAGAAAAAGCAATGGTTAAATATGTTTTTGGGACTGGAAGACTGAGCAGCAAGTACTTTTTAGATAAATACTCCCGTAATCGGAATCTTGGAAAGCACAATAAACGGTCTGCAAGTGGAACTGATGGCTGAAGCTAAGGGTGGCTCAGCTGTATATTTGGCTTTTGGGTTTAGCAAATAACACTCTCCCAGTGATCCGCATAAATCTGCCTCATCCACTAATTGCTGTTTATTCATTGGTATGAATGAACCCTTTTTAACGAAAAAAAATCTAATCTCTAAATGAATAATGTTCACTGAGGTATGCCTCTTTGGGTGACTTCGAAATAGAAATCAGCAGTATAGTAAGAACCAATAGGTTTTTATTTTTTTTCCGGGCGTGGCAGTCCAAGGGGGGCTTGATTCCACTCACCCCAAGTCTCCCTGAAAAACAGCATTTAATTAAGTGTAAACCGGTGTCAACGGGCTTTCTTTCGCGGTTGAAAAACTTAAAAACCTTATTTTTCAGCCAATCTTCATCCCTTCGAGTTATCGAGGGTAAAATTGTATGAAAGTGATCTGAAAGAAAACAAAAATTGCTTCGAGTTAGCGGGAGTTTCGAGTTATCGAGGGTTCGAGTTACCGACGGTAAATTACAGTAAAGGAAATCAGGGGAAATCGATTCTGGTTCGAGTTAGCACAAGGTTCGAGTTAGCGAGGGTTCGAGCTGGAGTCGACTGTAGTTCACTTAGCTTGTTCAACGGCTTTTTATGCTGAAAAGTATACGTCGCGGGGATTTCTTGGCCAGTTCCTTAATTTGTTTCTTGTTTTCCAACAGCTGTGACGGAAATCCTCCCTCCATTCTTCATGAATAGACCGACGATCACTTCCTCCCGCTTTCCGGACCGTTTGCCAGGCACAGCTTGCAGTAGCCTGTTCCAGGCTCTCGATAGTAGGGGTGGCACCGGCAAAAATAAGGCAAAAAAGCGTAAGGCACCGACAAAAATATAAAAGCGTGATCCAGGAAAAAGGGGCGGTGGCGGCTATCTTTGAGCCTGGAACAGACGTTTCATTGTACTTGGTTGCTTTTCCGCCAGATCGTTAAATCGGGAGTTCGTTTACAACGATATCCCGATTAAACTGCTATCCCATGCCATATCGTAAAATCGAGCTTCCATTTTAATTTCATATTGGAAATTTTTTGTTGATCTAAAGGTATCTGGTAACTAAAAATTGTTTGAGAAATAATTTCGGTATTTCTCTGCCAGGAATACTTGGCCAGCAAAGGATTCATTCATCGTGACCTGGCAGCCCGTAATATCCTACTTGGTGAGGACAAGGCGGTGAAGATTGCTGATTTTGGTTTGTTACGCCGCGCAAATGAGAGTGAAATATACGAAGTTACAAGCGTACACAAGCTACCAATGAAATGGATGGCACCTGAGGCGTTGGGAAGCGGCATTTTTACTTTCAAGACTGACGTGTAAGCATATGTTAACGAGGTCACAGTGAGGCCAAGCTTAGGCTTCCTTTGATGCGGTGTGAAGTTGAGGTTTTAGATAACATAGACCTTGCAATGTACTGTTTAGAACTGTCTGGAAAAAAAAACAAAAACAAAAAAAACAAAACAAAAGAGCACAATTTTGATCATGACACTGTCTACATTAGCGGTTTAAGACTCCGATTGCTTTTGACTACACCCTTGATGGCACAGCCCTGACACGCGTTTCACAAGAAAAAGATCTTGGCGTCATCATAACTAGTACGCTCTCTTGGGACTCACACATCCACACTATCACTGCGAAAGCAAACAAGCTTCTTGGTTTGCTTAAACGGACTTGTCCCCTGCTTACTAGCGTCTCTGTTAGGGGCTCACTCTATTTGTCTTTGGTCAAGTCACAGCTGTGTTACGCCACCTAAGTCTGGTCGCCCGCTTACGTTACTCTGAATGCTAAGGTGGAACAGGTGCAGAGACGTGCAAGCAGGTGGATTTTACGCATGCGCAAAGACGAGTCGTCGTACAAAGAGCGGCTGATTTTGCTAGACTTACTTCCACTTTCTCTAGATCGTGAACTCAAAGACTTGATACTTTTTTATAAATGCCTTTACTGTTAGTAGTACCCATCTAGATGTTCGGAATTATGTATCTTTTGTTTTTCATGATCATACAAGACTAAGTAACTCATTTAATCTTCGCACCCCTTTTTGCGAAACATCATCTTTTCAGGCCTCGTACTTTAACCGTATTGTTAAACTATGGAACTATGTTTGTAAGCTAGCACCCCCAACCAGTTTTTCCTCGCCTACTGCCTTTCAACTTTTTGTTCGCAAATTAATGAGCACTCACCTTTCGGGGGTATATGAAATCAACTACCCCTACACGTGGACACTAGTCCCTACGTGCCCATGCCACTCGTAATTTATTTTATTTTTTGTACGAATGTTTGTGCACTCATTTTATTTTTTTAATCTAGGTCTTAATCTAGGGACGGTGCCTCGCATGGGACGTTAGTCCCGTTGCACATACCCCTTTTGGGTTTTTTTTTGTGTTGTATTATAAATTTATATTGTATGTCACCAGAGGGGCACCCAATAAAGCTGTGAAAAAAAAAATTATCACTCTATCCAAAGAATACTCAAATGTTTGGAAAACATTAGCCTGTTCCAGACTTGAAACTTGAAAATAAGATATATAAACAGAATCTTTGAGCCGCTGAAATTAATCTGAGACGATCTTGGATCCTAGATTCCACGCTCCACATCCCGCATTCCAATACTAGATTCCGGATTCCAACTCAGTGTATTCCAGATTTCAAAAGGCCCAGATTCCAGAATTTCATAGTAAGCAGGATTCCGGATTCCAAAGTCCATGACACCAAACAAAAATTTCCTGGATTACCGTCCATGGGGCGAGATAAACAAAATTGATATTTCTATGAAGTTAATTTCTTTATCTGCTTCCTTTTACTGCAGATGGTCATTTGGAGTTGTTTTGTGGGAACTAGCCACCATGGGTAAGCTAGTTTTATAAATCTTTGTATACTGACGCTGGTAGAATAATACTCTAGTCATTTTCCTATACCCGAGGGAATTGAGAGGAATCCCCAATGACAGTAGTCAGGGAAAAGCTGACTGTTCAGTTTTAGGATAGCAGTAACGAGAGAATCAAACCGCTTTATAAAAGAAGCCATTCTTGCATAATGTCGTGATTGCTAAACAACTAGAAAAAATTATAGGCTAACTTCCGTCGCTCTCCCAGCGACTCTCCCAGCCGTCTTTACCGGGGAGGAGCGCAGGCTCATAATGATCCAGCCTATAAGTCATACCCTTAACCACAACTTGACCTGATATCACCTGTCACTTGGCGAAATGAATACTCAGTAATGCTAAACTTGGACATTACGTTATTTTAATCCCTCTTGGAGATTGGTAAATTGATAATTCATGATGGTCATTGAACTGAGTGGAGAGCAATTTGGTCTGAAATCATACGCGTGATTTCGCGCGCGAGTTCGATTTGAGATCAGAAGTATGATTTAAGGCTAAAATTGCAAGACACGAAGTGAAATTATCACTTTGTTACAGCCATTTTGAAATCGCAGAATTCAATCCGTACCAGTAGTGATTGGCCGTGGCACTGGATAAGTTAGCTCGTTATCCCCCATACTCGTTAACATATATTCTGAAGCCATGCTAAGAGATGCTTTAAGTGGTGTGAATGAAGGTATTCGAGTGGGAGGTCATCTCATTAAGACAGTGCACTTTGCGGATGATCAAGCAACCGTAGCCAGTTCAGTTAAAGGTCTGCAACTTATGACGGGTAAAATGCAGGAAAGCGCAGGGGAATATGATGTGAAGAAAATCAGTAGGAGGCCTGGTGAGGAATTTACGATCTTTCTTGAGGGTAATCAATTAAGTCAAGAATCGTCTCAATTTAACTACCTTGGGAGCCTTATTACACAGGATGGATCCTGTGAAAAATAAATTAGATCGAGAATAGCCCGAAAACGCGTTTACTAAGAAAAAAGAACTGCTGACAAAAGCCTTCAGTGCGCTAGCCTTTGCCTGAAGAAGAGAATTATACAGACTGTCATCTGGGGTACTCTTCTGAATGGAGCCGAATGATAGACCTTAAAGAAAGAGGACGTGCGAAGGCTGGAAAGATGTGGGATGCGGCTTTGGAGAAAGGTTTTAAACATAACTTGCTCTGACAAGGTCTGTAACGAAGACGTATTGAGGCGTGTCGGTGAGGAGAGGGCCATCATATCTGTTATTAACAAAAGACAGAGAATCTGGCTTGGTCATACCCTGCGACATGGTGATCATGTCCCATTAGTTATTGAGGGAATAATACCAGGAAAGAGACCACCTGGAAGACTTCGAGCGGGAATACTGGTTAGAGTGACGGATGACAGCTCTTACGTAGCGGTCAAGAGGCGTGTCTTAGATCGAGAACCATAAGGAAGGCTTGCCTGTGGGCAGATCAAATAGCCTGTTGAAAAGCGGAAACAAAAGGACTTTTACATCTCATTTTGTTTTCGAAACAGAAATGATGCGATATAAAGCAAGGTGCGACGGTGCGACGTGGTTTAGAACGTATATAACGCGATTTAGAACAGATGTGATTGTGTGATTCGTAAATAAATCACTCTGCTGAGAGCCAATCAGATTGCAGAGATCACCAGCGATTTCAAAATGAAAAATTAGAAAAGCCTGATAATCTTTGATAAGACAGCATTGATCTTTATTTTGCTATTTCAGGGGGTACTCCATACCCTGGGATAACCCCTATGAGGCTATGCAGTTTACTTAACTCTGGATATCGGATGGAGAAACCCAACACGTGCAGCGATGAAATGTAAGTCAGAATAGAAATAATAAAAGAGGTCCGAAAAGAGGGCACGATGAAAAAATACTTACATAGTCCTTCAAACAGTTTTTTTTTTAAATTGTCAGCCTTTTCAAAGGAGTGGAAACTGCAGCGCGCCTCTATCCTTTACGTTGCACCATTCTAAAAAGAGCCTATAGAACATATTAAGTGTCTTCAATATTCAAAGTAAATGGAGACATATCTTTGTGTAGTACTGTGGTATTTTAAACTACGGCTTCCTTTCTCAACAGATACAAATTGATGATGGACTGCTGGAAGGAGGATCCAAATGAACGACCCTCATTCATTCAACTAATCCCGATACTAGAAGAGATGATGACAGAAGATACCCCTTACTATTATTTCAGACTATTGGATCAGACCCAGCCATGTTACCGTGAGGCATCCGCTACTAACACCAGTAAAACTAGTACTCTTGATACGAAGTAGTAATTTCTATAGGGTCTCTATAGTTTAATTTTTGCCAAAGCACCTTTTTTTTCTTTAGATTGTTATAGGGGTCTCGGGGAAAAGGTGGGGGCTCCAGTATGAAAGCATAGGGGAATGCTCGACGGATAAGTAGATTATAATAATTGCAGTTGCACCGTCAGCAACACCAAGAAACTATACCAAGAAACTGAACACCGTTGTTTTCATCCTCACTGTTTGCCAGTATTCATAACCAGTCTAGAACACTCTCTAACTCAGGATGACAACGTCTTTTCATAGAAGATATTTCTTTACGCACAACCCTAAAGCTACGCACAAACGGACGCAACAACTTCCAACAATGATGAACAATGTTGCAAGTTGTTGGCCAACATAGTTACGTCCGTTTGCAGGGGGTTAAGTGATACCACTTAAAAGCTTAATTATTGTAGAGACCTTTTCTGGTGTTGAATAATAATTATAGTGATTATAGTTTAGATTTTTATTTGCGTTCTTTCAAGTAGTGTCATTAGCAGATCACTTGGGAAACCCATGTTTGGGTATTAAAAGTGAAGATTCGGATTATAAGGGCAGTTCGGAAAAAATAACATTCAATTTCCGACAAATTGCATATTTACAAAACAATATTGCTTCATTTTATAATGATAATAATAAATTTTTGAATGGCAGGAGTAAGATAAAATATTGTAGGGGCTTCGGTATGAATGGGGTCACTTTGATAAATCGTGCCATGATCCAAATTCAAAGCCAGGCCAAGAAAACCAGAAGAAACGAAAGTCATCACTCTTCTTCCTCGTGTTCTCATGTCATGACGTCAATGGATATATCGACAGTGGCCTATTTCATAAACGAATGTCCAGCTTTTGTCAGTTTCTATATATTTGATGTCATTCTTTAAAATAAATTAAAGGCTTTTAAACTTTATCTGAGTTTGTGGTCATTTCTGAGTGATATGCTGAGAATCTCGAGAAAAGCAATCTCCCTGTTCCCCATAGGAGCTTAAAATGTATTTGAGGTCTATTTGAATACTATTTATATAATTTAACAGATTTTCACCCTTTATTTGAAACATATTTTGTATTAAAACTACATTTTAAACAGATACTTAAACCATATTTTTAGAACCAAGGTACTGACGAGTACTCACAGGTTTATGAGCCCGCAAGACTAACATTCATCATGACCACTGGGCACCGATGCTTTTAGTATTTACGTATTCTATGGGAACGAAAATGTACCAACACATATTCCCCTCAATCGCTTTAGTTGCCTTCATAGACATCCCCAATAACTTCGTACCTGCTATGTTTTCCCTCAAAACAGCTGGGCACTAAAACTGATATCGATAGATGTCAATTAGTGCCGTCCATTCTGGGACGGGACTAGACTTGACGGGACGGGATTGGCTCTATTGTTCTTCTTCATATCAACTATGCTTGCAATGATTTCGCCCGCGATTATCCACTGGCCAAGGTGAGAGACGTTCCTCCATCATTCACCATCCTGCCGTCCTTTGCGCCTATTTTATAGAGAAACCGTCGTAGTCAGTTGCAATTTAGGCAGCACAATTTAGAAGCGAATTTTAAAAGCGGGCTGAAATGCAACTAATGTAGCACCAAAACAGTGTTTCTGTGTAGGACGAGATCAAAAAAGAAGAGTTTCTGTTCACTCTTGTGGTTGCACTAATCGATGTCTTACTCATTAAAAAACTGACTAAACAAAATATTTGAGCAGAAATTTAAATGAAGGTGATACGCTTGCAAAGTAAAACTTCATGAAAGTTTTGTTAGCGAGATTGTCTTAGACCTCCAGGGGTCGGGGGTTTCGATCTGTATTACGCAAATTATTTTGCATAACATACAGGTAGCTTTAGTTTTGAAACAAAAGTCTTGGAATACAAACTGTAAACAAACTAATCTCACACCTGCCGTTTATAATTATTGGCAAAACGTCCTTAAAGTAAGCACCACTTGAATCAGTGGCAACTATCGCTGCTAACTTTACTCATTTAACGCAAGAACATTTTCAATCAAAATGGAACGGCTGTAATTGTTTATTCAGCGTTGACATGGCTTGCTACTCTGTCCTCTACCACCCTCCCCTACCCCTTTAGGATTTCTACACGCCCCTGCATAACGAATAAGGACTCCTAATTGGCTAATTAACAATTATTCGCCGAATGCGAAGTTAATATTCAGCAGTATTAACTGAGTTGTTTGTTTGTTTGTTTGTTTGTTTTTTTTTTTTGTCGCTTCTTGCAAATGCTGTAACAGCGGCCACGATCGAGGTGAGTGTTGTTTCTCCACAGTGTTCTTTGCCTTGTTAACTAGCTGCCACGTACAATTTTCTAAAATACATGCCTTCCTTTTTCTCTCCATAAATTAACTTCTATTTATAGGCAAAATTGGTCTTGCGAGGAAATCCCGAGTTCACAACACAGTGACAAAGCAGCCGCGGCAATTTTGCTGTGTAGTGGTAAACATTGCTTCGAGCGTATAAAACGTCAGCTACAGTAAATCTTTCAGAGTAAACCACGCTGTTCAATCACGGTGAAGTCTTTTCTTACCTTCAGAATCATCAACACCAGGATATTCTTGTATTTTCAAAAAGTTCTTACTTTGAAACTTTGGCAAAACACCCAGTTTACGACAGCGAGTTTGTTTGGCTTTATATTCACCGCCTAGCGTCGTGAATATTTTTCCTTGAGCCCGAACTGGCTCTGAGTCGATAGCCCATGAAGCCAAAGGCCAAATGGGCTAACTGAGAGAAACGAAAGCTACTTGACGACTCATATAAAGACAACAGGAGGAACAATGTTTTTACTCTTTTTCTTATCACAGAACACGGTCTCCAGTGCTACCACTGTGTGTCAACTAAGAGTTGGGATGACTGTGCCTCTATCCAGAAAAAGGTGGCCTGTGATTCTGGTAAGGAAATCTTCGCCAATATTCATTAACATTCAAAATCAGGAGACCTGGCTATGTCAGTAGAAGGTTATGCCAGAAAATGTAGCGCAAAATCAGCCTGTGGCAACGAGGAGCTCTGCAAGGCATTTGCTCCAAAAGGATCTACAATCAAGAAGTGTAAAGTCAACTGCTGCCAGGGTAACCTGTGCAATGGAGCCAGAGTACCACTGACCAGCGCCATTCTGCTCCTGGCATGCGCCCTTTTAGCGTTCTTTTGTTCAGAAAGTACAAATTGTGAAGTTTTGAGTTTTTAATAGCTCTTTGGATTAGGGCGTGAAGTGGTAACGTACAAGTAAACGTTATCTTAATTTTATGTATTAAGTCTTGTTTTAGCAAAGTGAGTTCTGAGGAAGGAAACCATATCATGTAGAACAAATATTTAGCCTATCATTGTCAATTCTCAAATTATAAACGTGTTTGATTTTCATGAAGTATTCCTGTTTACGTGTTTCTTGTGAAATTTAAAAAGAGCTGTCTTGAAAATTTCATGAAGACCCTTTCTAAGCCAGCGTTTTTAGGGGAGGAGAGAAGAAATACGACTCCCCTAAAAACCCCTGCGTGGACAGCGGAAGTGATTTTCACGGCCGCAGTCCGTCCTAAGTGCTATAAAGTCAGTCAATCGCGGTGGAAAAGAAAAAAGCGGGGTTTGAAGGTGTTTTTAAACTCTTGTAAAAGGTAAAGATGTTTTATATTCTAATCACACTGAAACGATTATAAAAATTTTGTAACTAATCTAAATAACCACAAAACACGGAATAGGAGCGGGCATCTCGTTTATTGATAAAGCCAGCGTAGAGCGTTACAAAAAAGGGAAATTATAGCAGTAAATAAAATAAGAAATTTAGGGTTGAAAGAGATGCCTCGAATGGCTCTTGCATAACTTAACAAACCTTAAATAGTGTACCAGCCCCTTGAGACACCTTACGCGCACGCCTTGAATACTTCATCAGTATTATGCAACCTAATTTACATACTCTTGTGAAACTAAGAAAACGTTACAAAATATATTTTCCATCAATGTGGTTATAAAGTCGGCGCCGCCGAAAATTTCTGTATAAAATGCGGAAAAGGTAAGATCTTTCATTAGCAGCATATTGCGTTCCCTCTTTAATGTATGAAATACGTAAATGCAAAACGTTAATCGGTGTCGGTTGATTTCCTAAGTCACACGTGCTTTCGAGTATTTCAAAGCTTAATTTGTCGTGATTTGAACAGTAGAGTTTCATTCCCATAAAGTGGTTAGTTTTAACAAACACGGGTGCTCGACGCTGCATCGATTAGGTAATGGAACAAAATGGAACAAAATATTTGGTTGGTCAACTGTCTGTTGCTGCATTTAAAGACCGCAGGGCGTATTTAAATCTCTCCAATAAGCCGCTGGGAGTTACTTGTTCTAGCCATCTTTGAGGAGGTGGGGGTGGAGGGGGGGGTCGGGGGACTTATTCACATCTGAGAGGCAAAGCTATTGTATTTCTTCAAAGTCAGTGAGGAAATTTAAATCACTGCCCCCAATATCTTTCACTTATTCTTTGATAATGGAATTATTAAATGGATGACTACAATTTTATTGACTTCTTGAGGAGTAATAAGCAAACTGTAGGAGAGGGGAACCATTGTGACTATTAAAATGGAAGTTGTACTCTGAAATTAAGAAGGGAGGGTAGGGCTGAAGAATAGGAAGCATACGCTGTCTAATATAGGTAAAGTGGGCAATTTCCAATCTGCAGGTGTTTGAATGGGGCGGACTCCATGACGCGAGTGTATTTTCCCAGGCACATACCCCACCCCCCTTTTCCCTGGTTTTCACATGGTAATCAATCAGGCAAAACTGTATACAAATTTACATACTGTTATATTCCATCATTGCTGAATTTTTTATGAAAATGGTGTGAATGTACTCACCACCTAAATAGACTGGTCGAAAACTTCTATGAAACAGGTCTGCTTGTGGCGCCTGCAGCAATGGACTCGTCAAAAAAACTCCCAACGTGTTTAAGGGATAATGTCTGTTTTTAGCACTACTTTTCCATCAATTGCAAGTAAAATAAGTGGAAAGATGCGCCACTTATTCGAGGGCGGAGCTCTTATGAGTAAATAAGGTACATGTTACATTTTACTAACAACCCACGCTAATTGTACTACGGTTAACCCTCTCCAAAAAGGAAACCGCTGGGAGAGGAGGAAGGTGTCCATTTCGTAGAGAGTTAAAGAAACTGAATGAAACACGGCAGGAACTAACGCCATATATCTGTCTTAGGGACGGTACTCTCTGCGAGACCGTTGACTGTACAGGTAAATTTCCACCCATTTGTGGGCTTTCCATGCATCGTGCGAACTATCATTCCGATAGCCTGCGTGGCAGGCGTTTGAAAGGGAAGGGAAAGGGAGTTTTATTCCTAAACAAAACAAAGGGAAGCTTATTCACAGCGCAAAAAAAGTTTATTTTTACAGACGTCTATACATCTACTTTCATTAACTTTACAACATTGATCTGCGCACCCAAAAACTCGCACGCCACGTTCCTAACAATGGGCTTCATTCCCAACCACTCCCAACAGCTAACTTTCTACCGGGTACTCTTTCAAACAACAAATAATCGGGAATGATGATGATGACGATGATACTCTCGATGGTGATGATGATGGTGATCTTAATGGTGATGATGACGATAAAGATAATGATATTAATAGCTAACATGTTCACGGCCACCATAAGGGTGATGAAAATCAATTTGAGCAAACTCGCAACTTTGTTAGTGACTCTGGTTTGGCATTAGAACTTGTAGAACCATGTTCTCCAATTAGAACTGACGGAGAACGTACCGCAAAAAGATAATCTCTTCTACATCGAAATATCTTATTTAAAGAGCAGCAGGAATTACACCATTTCATAGTTTAATCCTATTCTTGCATATATTTCACTAGCCATATCATTAGCCCTTACACTCATTCATATTGATGTAGAACTTCTATATTTACTTAGTTTTATTTTTTTTTTACTTAGACTTTGTATGCATTTCTCTTGCCTCTTTAACGTTAAAACGCCTCACACACCAAACGCGAAAACTCGCACACCAAAATCTAACCTTGCAGTTCAAAACAGCTAACAGTGACTAACTTCTACTTGTACACTTTCAAACAACAAATAGTCGTGATTTACCCCATATAAGCTGTTTTGAAAAAAACGTTTACATTATTTTGTTGTTTTCTGACAAGTTTCTGAATATTTCCTCACTCTTCTTCTGCGGTTTTCGAGCCAACAACGGCTATAATTAAAAAATGGCAATTTAGTGGAATTAATCAATCCACCCCAGTTACCAATATACAGTTGCTCTCACCACCCTCTTTAGTCTCTGTTAAAAACAAACTTTGACTCTCAAACTCGTAAAACATCACAGATCCCACTGAACAATCTAATGAGAAACTTCAGCTGGTGAAAACGACTGAATTGGATTATTACTTAAATTTAGTGTTCTGTAGTATTCAAACAAATGTCGCCAAAGCTGAGTCCTTTCCATCCGGGGAATTCTTCTTTCCTTCGACGTACTCTTCAATGAAGGAGCCATCTTCGTCAAACTGATGTCCCTCGCCGTAATCATCCAAACTGTCGCGGTCGTTTTCTGGGATCCTCCGCAGTGAACTCTGGCTCTGGTATGGTGGAGGGTTTTCCACCCGGCTAAAAGCGAGCAAAATCTATGTTAGATCTTTACAACACCAAAAACTGATTCTCAGGGGTTTCATTCACTTCAGCCCCCACGGAAGGGACTCGACTCATCGAGGCTTCCCTGTTAACAGTTATTACCCCGCTAGATGGAATATTGGCCAGTAATTCATGGCAGCGTACCATATAGGGTAATTAGATCTCAACTTTAATATACAGTGTCTAAATTGCTTTAACTAAAATCAACATTCAAGTTTTTAACACATTGTTGGTTTATTAGGATAGCCAGTTGGATAAGCTTCAATTTGATATAGGGTTTTGGGTATCTGCAGTTTAAACGGAACGCGCTACATCACTTGGACGTGACATACCCCTCACGGTATCCGAGGGTACCCCAAACTCCAGGCTGCCACAAAGCAGGCAGAGCACGTAGATTGTCACCTTACATTTCGACCACTGATTACAACTCAACACAATGGCCGTATTCACACTAGAGACGGATTTTCCGTTGGGTAATTTGCGACTTACATAATATGCGTCTTAATTTGAAAATGTAATGGTTTTAATTTTGGATGAACTATCTGTCTTAGTTAATCCATCTGTTTATTTGTCAATTTTGACAGACAGATGGATTATCCACAATCCGTCCCTAGCACGTGCGAAAACGGCCAATAAGCTTTATTTTAGGGGGGAAAGCACTAAGGTGACAGTGATAAAACTTCTGACTCTTTTGCCCTCTTTTGAATCCAGGATTGCAATCTTTTCTTTGGATAACAATTTAACATTAATGACAGCCCTGACATCTGCAAGAAATGACAATTTCCACGTGCTATAAAGTCGTATTAATGGTTGATGGTTTCTTACCGTTCATCGCTTATAGAAGCGCCTTCTTCCTCATCGTACGGTGGTTCGAGTTCAATTAGAGGTCTCTCCTTCTCTCGTTTGCCAACTGTTAAGCGGAAAATCAGTCAACATGATTAAAGCCTTACATCGCGCGTCGTCATCGGCTTTCCTCAGAGCCGTTCGCGGTTGGCCGAAACTAAAGTAAAATTATGCATCGAAGCTGGCCCCTCGCGCATGCGCGCGATTTAACGTTACTCAAGAAAAGTAGGAGACTGCTGGCAGTCTATAAAAGCCTTTGATTAAAGACCACTCGCTACAGACAAGCAAATTACCATGCTATGTATCTGCCACTGCGTAAGATGAGGATTGCTGGGTTTTCGCATTATTCTTTTGGCCACACCTTAAGGGAGATTTTTGGTTTCTGGCGGGGCACCGGTTCTAGCGTAGATCCTATCTTTAGAACATTTTCAAAGGGTCCCTAAAAGGGTTCTTCAATCCCGTAATCCCAACCTAAAACTTTGTGCAATTCCGTGATCCCGAGGGTTATTTTTGGCATCCCACCTTCTGCGCATACTTTCAACCCCGAATCTAGCCATGATTTCGTTTTGAAATACCGAATCCCGAGCTTCAAATAAGAGAAATCCCGGATCCCGAGCTTCAAATAAGGGAAATCCCGGATCCCGTGCTTCAAATAAAAAAAATCCCGGATCCCAAGAAACCTATTGAGGACCCTCTTTTCACTGTGGTCAGCATCTATGCAAATTTATTGCAACAAAAGAACGTTTTCACATGAAAAATGTTCAATACCCAAAGGATTGGCTTGGAGCACCAACATGATTACCGTTTGGTTGTTTTCGTACACCAATATGGCGAACATGACGTCATGTTAAAATTCTCTAATGATTTGCAAGGATGCACAATACCGTTGTTGTAATAGGGACACGTCAGAATGCGATGATAGACAGAACCATTCTTCATCTTAAGTTAGGGATTCCGGAATCCGGAAAATTTTTGCCTGTGGAATCCGCAATCTGGGATATCTTTGCTTATGGAATCTGGAATCCCAGTAACGTATGGAATCCAGAATCAAAGTTCCACTGACAAAGACTGGAATCCAGTACCTGGAATCCGGAATCCACAGCGTGGAATCCAGAATCCAAGACTGCCTTGTATTCATTTACATCGGGAAACTATTTACACTGAATGTCTTTTAGAAGATCAAGATCTCATTTGAACTTACCAAGATATTTAGCACCTTGATGCCGACTGTAGTGTACAAAAATCAACAGCACAACCAGCACAACAGCGATAATAATCAGCAAGGTGATGAACCAAGCACTCTTGTGTATCGGATTTGTTAAAGGCTGGCTACCTGAAAGGCATTGGTAAAAGTATTATATAGGACCGGGTTGTTCAAAGGTGGGTTAAGATAACCCTGGGTCAGTGCGAAATTTGAAATCGATATGAAAGCTTAAAATGCAAATTAGGGACCGGTCATTATTTATCGCCTGGGGCGGGGGGAGGATTTTAGGGGGAATCACTTGATTTGTGGGAGAACAAAAGGGGGGATCAGTCGTAATTGAGAACCCTAAAGGGGGGATCGTTGAAAGCTTTGGAAGGATTCAGAGCGGTGTCAACTCAAATTTGCTTGGAAAATGAAGGCAGGGGGAGGGGGGGATCGCGAAAGGCATCAAAAGTTATTAAGTGGGATCACTTCAGTGAAGTAACACTCAAAGAGGGAATCGGCTAAATTTCCTCCCCCGAATACTTACTGGTTATAGGTGGGAGAGGCCGTCCGTCCGTGACGTCACTGGCGGGGCTCTCTGATCTTGAATTATCGTCATCGTCGTCTGGATAATCATTTCTGCCAACAGTTTTAAACTCGTAAAGCTCGTTATTTAAGCCTCCAATCTTGATGTTCTGCTTCTCAAAATGATTAATCCAGCTGGTGTTCTGGAAGGCTTCTCCTTGCACTACGAAATAAATAAAAAAATATATTTAAATTAGTGAGCCGAGGGGAAGTTTCATTACTTGTGTCCGTTACCTTTTCTCGTCCGAGTCTTCCTCGTGCCATTTTTCTTCAGCATACGCTAACCTCTGAAAGTTGCCTCATCCCCTCTCGATCAATCCAAAATTTGGTTCGGTTCTCTGAGGGGAACACCATACGAACAGGAAGAGTTTGGGGGAGGACTGAGGCTTCAAAAGGCAGGGCCATCCAAAATAATGGGACCCTGGAAGATGTTCAAGCTTTACCTTAAAAGGATTATTAAGAGAGGGGCAAGGCCTTTTTTACATTGGTATGTGCAAATCAGTAGAGGTACCACACTGATATCATTTTTCGCATTCTAAACATACTCTTCAGCTTTTCCTAAAATAGGAACTTGATATTACTTGATATTACGTTTCTGTTTCATAAACAGTAGTCTTTTTAAATTTTCAATCATCCACTCTTTCTATCCGGCTTACTTTTAATTTCTCCTGCCGTTGTTGTCGTAGTTTTTGTGAATTATTAAAACATTTTCAAGTATGCTTACATTTCTTTCGGTACATGACCAAGAACTCGTGGGTATAGCCTCCACCAAGGCCAAAGTTGTAAGTAACTTTCACTTCATCCACGCCGGTTCCCTCAACAGTGGGTCTTTCTGGTTTGGCGGGAGCTGACAGAAAGATAAAAACCATCATTAGTTTACATAACTGCCACTACCTGGTGGATATGACTGTGCGCATGCGTACGTTACTGGCCATTGAGTATTAATGGTAATGGTAGAATGTAAGCCATGCTGAATTTTGCAATTCAGGTTTCGCCGGAGATCTTATTAGCTCCTTTCCGTATTATCAAGGTGTCCGTAGAAGCGTAGTCTGCAAGTACAGCCATTTATTCTCGCTCCTAGCGGAGAGGAGCGAACAGAGGCGGCTGTATAAGCGGGTTAGAAACGATGAAAAGTCCGCAAGGCGAGAGTTGAATTTAAAGCTATATTAACTAACTTATTTAAGTTATACTTACGAGCATATTTTACAGTTCGTGTTGTCTTTCTGAGTTGTTCTCCCCAACCTTTGCTTGTCTCTGCTTGTATTGCTACAACATAATTTCTCTCCGGCGTTGTTTTCTCAAGAAGCTTTCTAAAAACGCCTGGCCCTAGTTCCTGCCAGGATACCTGAAGATCGTCGCTCGGCTGCGAACCTTCGTACTGCGCCGAGCCCACTCGGTATTTTGTAATCACGCCGTTAGGTTCCACAGGGGCTTTCCATGTGACCAGGATGTATTTTGCAAAGGCATAGACGTTGCCTGCTGATGGTGGTCCAGGAACTAAAATGAGATGAAGTTCATGGCAACTTAACCATTTAAACCCACGTAAAAATTCTCCACACTAACCTCAGTACATTTCCTTAAAAATTAGTGGAGAGAATTATATAAAATGTCAAAGAATGTTTCCTTTGGTGATCATTTAGCCTTTTCTCTTGATTATGTCGTGATATTTTTGGAAGAAAATTGATTTTAATCACCCTTTTAACTCATAAATGGGCGTACTTTTGCCCGAGCCTTGTTGCATTGCCGTGGTTGTGATTGCTTAATCGGACGAATAGGATCGGGAAGGGGTCTGCAGAAAAATGGTCAGCAGGCATTTCTATTAGTCTTGGTTGGCCTGTGGTGACTCCACCCAAAAAGGGAACAACACGGGCGACAATTTGCTGTTTATTTGATCAATTTTGATCAAATTTACGATATTTTATGGACTTTAGCGGCACGAGAACTCAGTAATGGCGACGGAATACGGAGGTCTTCCAGCTTTGGTTATATTTTGGGGGATTTTTCTCGGGAGTGGCCGTTTTTTTCGATGAGTTCTGCAACGAACTATGAGGCTGAATGTTCAAACAGTAGCTAGAACTTTTAAGTATGTAGTGCTGTCGAGGAACGGTGCTAGATTTACAAGCTTGAAAGGTAACTCGAAGCAAAGTTGTCATTTTGCAAAGAAACATATGGAGATTTTGTATCGAACGGTCAATGGTTTTAGCCTTTTTCTTCATAGTTCTAACGCTGTTTATTCTGCTTTCTTGGTCTCAAAACAAACCTTTTGTGACACTGGATCAATTCATGCGATGATAAACTTTATAGGAAACCATTTTGAAACATATTTTTGTCAAGTTTTTATTTTTTAAAAAATCCTCAAATATTGGAATTTGGGTTTTTTTGGTACCGAATGCATGGTAGCTTCAAGGAAAATATATCCACAAACAGTTTGGGTCAATTTTGACTTCTTACCATCAAGATCGATGCCAAGAAATAAAATGCTTTGTTGGTAGTATTTGTAGCGGCTTCCACCTTCCCAACTGAATTTGTCAGTTAAAGGGTGATGCCAAGTTTTGCCTTTGGTAGGTCTAACAAAGCCGTATTGGTGGAGGGTGAGAGGACTAAAAACAGCCCCTGGGCATTCCAGGCTGAGCTTTTGATGGCCAAGAAAAAGGACGTACAGTCGTACATCTTGGAAGGATCTATCACCGAGGTGTACTACTGAACGTCCTTTTTTATGACCATCATGATTTCCCTCTTCCCAATAGGGGAACATGAGGGACATCATTCTAGGTGAAATTTATTTGCTTTTTACGTACTTGGCAGTGACGAGGCCAAGCCCAGTCTAGAGAATGCCCTGCGTTGTCCAAAGGCCAAGCCGATCCGGATATTTTTTTTATTCGCAACGTTTTCTTTGCTGATACGGCTTCCGTCAACAGGTATCCGGTTAATTAGGCATGCGAATCCGCAACTTTTTGAATCCGCTCCCCAAAGTGGAAATTTTTGAATACGCTATGAATCCAAAATAGTGTAGATGCTAAATCTGGATTTTTTTTTCCGGTGACGTAACAAGATCTCGAGCCCTTTACCGTGAATATTTAAGATGGTGCCGTGCGTAATGTTATCGCTCTTTTGCTTCTTGGATTTCAGTTTTAAGTCTTATAACGTGTGTGCAGTTAAACCTAGCTATGATTGCTGCACACTTCAATTATGCCAAACGACGGCTCGACATTCTAAGGCTTCTTTCTTTGGCGCGGCGGTCGGACCGACGAATTGGACGCCATAACTGAACATTCAAGTTAAACGAGTCGAGCGAACTCAAGTGGAACAATTTTGTCAGCGAAACTAGCGCAACAGTTCATTGGTTCGTGGGAGCTGAATACCGCTTTACAAATTAGCTGACGAACTGAGAGTGAATCCGGATACGTGCGGACGGCCAAACTCGATTTGAATACGCTACAGCGTGTCGACGTGGAAATGAATCCGCAAAGAAAAATTTGTGGACTCAAAAATATCCGGATAAGTGTAGACGCGGTCTGAGTTTGACCTCTCACCCTCGACTGACCAATCCGGCTTTGGTAGACCCACCATGGTTAAAACCCACGCCACGTCGTCATTGCTCTTGGGATCATTGGGAAATATGCCTGTAGCGCATGGGACCCACATTACCAGAAAGATAAAGCCGCTCTAGAAAGGTTACAGCGGAAAGCAGCCCGCTTTGTCACTGGAAATTACGATCGAACAACGAGCGTGACGGAAATGCTGCAAGACCTACAGTGGGACACACTTGAAACAATGAGAAGACACGCAAGGCTCTCCACTATATACAAGATGTGCCACGGCCTCCTAGATGGGGACTGGGGGGATTATTTGATAACAAGCAAAGAAAGGAGAACCCGGGGAAGCCATGATTTTAAATTTATTGTACCGAAAGGACATAAAGATATTTTTAGATTTTCTTTTTTTCCCAGGACAATAACTGAATGGAACAAACTTCCAGAAGAAACTGTTTCCAGCCAATCCCTCTGTATTTTTAAAAGCAAACTAATTTAGTTTTCTTTTTATCAGTAGTTTTTTAATAGTTTTTAATAGTTTTTTAATAGTTTTGAATAGTTTTGTATATTCTAGTATAGTTTTATTTATTATTATCTTAGAGTTGGCGTGATGTCCCAAACGATTTTGCCGACATAACGATATTTAGATTTAGATTTAGATTTAGAAATCTTTGTTAAGATAGAGGTAACTGTGAACTCCTTAAAAATACTTACCGTCTTCTTCAGTCGCTGCAAAGGCTTCGTTACTGGCAGGTCCTTCGCCGCCACTGTTGTAAGCCGTTATTGCGAAGATGTAGTCAGTGTAAGGCGTAAGTTCTGTTACATTGTGCCTATCAGTGCTTCCTCCTCGGACATTGACAAACGACGCATAACCAGGTATTTCTCGACGACGTCTTGCACTCAGGCGACTCTTACCCCAGTAGTAAATCTGCAAATGCAAATGCGCCACTGTAAACAAATATTTTTGGCGTCAATTCTTAGATGTGACTCGATCGATGTCTTTATCTGACTTGAACGATGTTAGTGCATCAGGGCTAAACGATCGATAACAAAATCTTACCAATCAAGAAATAGGAACGTCAATAAAGCCAACTTCTAAGCCAGTTTATACTAAAAAAATCACAGGATGCCGTAACAACCCCTTAAATCCAATTGTAGCTGATTAAAAGACCATATCACACTAAAGCTCTCTCTCCTCTCTCCATCTATCTCCGGGTAAAGAGAAAAATAGAGGGAATGGGAACAAGGCTGCTCTCACCTTATAACCATCCAAACTTCCTCGAGTAACATTAACAGGTTGCCATGACAACACAACAGTGCGTGCCGTCGCAGCTCCAGGTTGTACATCTCCAGGCTTTCCTTCGGGCGGGTCTTGACCCGAACGTGATTGTACTTTAGGACTCCAAGGCCCCATACCTTCCTTGTTCCAAGCTTGAATCTGAAATTCCCACAGCTTATAATAACCGGGATTTGGTATCGCAAAAACGTCCACAGTGGGATCAGTGATTCTCTCCGGGTCTCCAAATGGACCATCCGGCACCTCTCTGTACTTGAGCAAGTAGTAAAGGCCGGGAGCATTCCAATCCACTTTAGGCATTGCCTACGAAGAATTAAAAATAAGAAGACAGTTAAATTCAATATTAATACCCGTCGCCTATAAACCTCCCTGTGGGAATGCTTTTTTTTTTGCAAAACTAAAACACTCCCTGTCAAAACGTTATGAAACAAACCACAGACGAAATTTCACAAGATAGATGTCTTGGACCATAAACTACCGAAGAAATGGCTTTTCCTTTGTGAGTTACTGTTAGTTTCATTTTTTTTTTTAATTTTGTTTCGAACGGTAAGTAAAAGTAGTAGCGCTCGACTAAATCACCTAAATCACCTGACGGTCTCAAACTTTCCGCCACAATTCCCAACAAAATGCAACAGGGTGTGCAAACGGACGTAACATGTAACATCCAACAATGTTGGGAGATGGCCAACAATAATGTTGCGTCCGTTTGCATAGGGCTAAAGTGCACTTACGGTCCAAACAATATCAAGCTCCTCGGCTCTCTTTGGATTTCCACGGAAATTGTCTGGATATTTATCTGGAGCTGTTGAAAGTACATACATTTAAAGTCATTTCTGTTCCAATAATGTGTTATATAGCTTCCTATGGAAATCAGTATCAAGAAATAGCTCAACGTTTAACTGAGGTCGCAACATGCGACGATAAATTTTTCCTTCTCTTTGCGACCTTGGTTAAGAACAGGACCCGATTACGAAGACTGGGTTATCACCCACATTTGAAAAACTGAGTTTGAACGCGACTTCACTTTACAATTGACATCTGTCGCATTATCTTGAAATACCTACTTTTACCGCACCTTCTCAAACTCATTAATAATAAAGAAAATACCATGAAAGTTTGGTGAGTGTTTGGAAATCAGAGGAAAAACTGCTCATTTTTGCATCCTTAGTTTCTCCTTCTAAAATCATTTTGTTTGGGAAGTAATATAAATAATTCGACACAGTGTTTCATCACCAGATAAAACACATCGAAGTTCGTCAAAAAATACTCCGCTTCGCGTCGTATTTTCAACTCTCTTCTCGGTGATTCATCTGGTGATAAAAAACTGCGTCTCATGTTCGATATATTACAGTTAAGCAACGCTTAGCCTCCTGATACTTATAGCAATTTTTTCATTCAACAATATCGGAATCAATGTAGCATATGACAACTCCTTTGCCCAAGAAAAACAGCATTGATCGTCTCAGAGTTTGTAAAGTGAAACTGACAAGCCAAAAATACACTCACGTCCAACATCCGTTTGACAAACTTCAGTGGTGGCTGCACTTCCACGGCTGGGTCCAAAGCGGTTGACAGCTCTCATACGGAAACGAAGGGTCGCCCATCCGGTCAGATTAAAGGTAAAAGACGTCGCATTAGGGTTTGTGACGGTTTGAATGTTATAAAACACGTTGGGCTCATACGTAGATTCCTGCTCAATAATAAACTGTGTGATGGAAGCATTGTTAGGTGCTCCAGTAACCCAGGAAAGCGTTGTAGTGCGTTTAAAGCAATTTGTTATGGTAAGATTTGTTGGCGGATTAGGAACACCTACAAAAATCAGATTTAAACAGTAAAATGGTTAGTGTAATGAAAGCCTCTTTTTCTCCGCCAAACTTACGAATCAACATGATGTACTAAAACTTCACTGGGGAAGATAGTCACGGGGACTAACCCAGAGTGCCAATAATATAAAGGGAAAGAACAAACAAAATAACAAAAAAAGATAATTCCAGCGAATAATCATAGCTTACGCTCTTCGATGCAAACAAAAGAGGAGAAAAGTGATGGCGTCACAAAAACTAAATTTGGATTGGTTGACATATTTAGTAAAAAAAAAAGATGAAAAATGTTCAGGTGCCAAACATCAGCACGTCGCTGCAAATTAGTGAGGAGATATAAGCAACGTTATTGCTCCGATGATTCCATCTAAATCCTCCGGAAATAGGCCTGAATCGTTAACTTTATGATCCAAGCCATTTTTAGAAGGATTTGTATGGAGTCATCAGAGCAAACCGGTGCTAATATCTCTACACAAATTTCTACTACGAGATCGATTTTTGGTAAAGGGACATTTTTTTATCTTGTTCTTTCTGAATATGTTAACTAATCCCATAATTTCACAAACTTGAATTTAGAGACGTCACACTTCTCTTCTCTATCTCAGAAACTGTTGTACCGAAAGCTGGTACCCAGTCTCCCTGCAGTTAACGCCACCAAAAAGATTCATAACGAGACCAATTTTCGTTCATTCTAGAGAATCTGAGAGAACACGTATACCCCTAGACAGACTGTGTTAGTACCTTTGATATCAATAGTTGCAGATGCTTGGTCTTCAGATCTTTTTGGATCAGGAGTATAGGCCACACAAGTATAATTACCAGCTTCATAAACTGTAATGCTGGCAATTGTTAGAACCTTAGCTCCTTCAAACCACTGAATTTTGTTGTTGTAAGTTACGACGGCATCATCTCTTTTCCATTTGTACCTCAACTCAAGATGCGAGTCAGCCTTTGCCTCACATCTCAGATCAACACGAGTTCCTTCATCAACCTTTTTATCTTGTGGACGCACAGTAATTATTGTCCTGTCTGAAAAACCAAAATGGTTATAATTATAACTGAAGTATAATATTGCAGTAATACATTGGAACCCAGACATTACTTCTATTAATTTTTTTCCATAGGAAAGAATGAGAGTTTTTAAGACACAAATGACTGGAAATTTGAAAGTCATATTCGAATTTGGCTGGCTACTAGGACTAAAGTCTTGCTTTAGCTAATATAAGGGACAAATGTGATTCTCACTAAAAACTGTAGCACTTGCTGTTGCTTCGGCGTGACCCAACGAATTCTTTGCATAACATGTGTAAAGTCCCTTGTCTCGATTCTCGTCAACTTTGTCAATTATCAATGTGCTTAATTCCCCATGCTCTATTCTGTAAGGTGGTGATGACGTCAGTAGAGTGGTTCCTTTATACCATTTATATTCACTTGGCCGTGGAGCTGCTTTCGGATTACACGTCAGCCTTCCCTCAGTGCCTTTAAACAAGTAGAATGGACCAAATCCGGTCTCAAAAGATGGTGCCGTTGCTGCAAAGAGAAAAGTTTCTTGTGTAAGGTATTATCCCCAAACGCGCACGTAAGAAGAATTGACGTGTTATAAAAGCTGGTCCGGTGACGTATCCTAGTTTGTTTTGTATATCAGCGAAGCTAGAGAGAATGAGTTGAGTCAGAGCGAATCTCTGTGCCTCAGGATAAGTATTTGAGATCTATTTTCAGTTCGCGCGTACTGTGAAGGGCAAGTGGGTCACTGATTGGCTAATATCAACGTATGTAAAATGATCGTATTTAATGTGTGTCCAAATTCGATTGCACTAAGAGACAAAACTTCTAGTAACTCAGAGTAGATTTAATAACAAAAGTGTGTTTTTGCTGTTGTCATGCTCGCTGATATGAGGTGACAATCACTCTCTTGCCATAGTCAATGCAACTTCGGACAAAACTGATTAAGAAAGATTAAAAAACGTCTACCTTCCAGTACTCCTGTCTAAAATATACAGTGTTGCGAAGTAGAGGGCAGTCTTTCTGCTCCCCTCTTCCTAATGTTGTCTTAGGTAACACTAGGATTGTATGCATGGTGTTGACCAAAACAACATTGAATTATTTATAAAATTTTCACAGTGAAAATGGCAAGCTCTTTTATCAAAAATTGATTCATTTCAAGTCCACTTTTGTAATAGGGGAATGAAGGTTCAATTGTATAAATGTAATTTTCCAAGTCCTTACCTCGAACTTTTACAACTGTATAGGACACGATCATTCCATGTGGATTCTCAGCCACACACTGATAAACTCCGCTTTCTTGTTGATACCTCACATTCTGAAAATCCAGCTTGTTGCCATTCGGTCTCACATGTGCACTATAGAATGCAACTTGATTAGTGACTGGACATAACTCAACCCGCAACTGACTATTTTCGAATTCCCATAATACAACCTGTCTGCAACCCGCGGTCCTCATCCCCCCCCCCCCCCCCCAAATTTATGCACATGTTAATGTTTTTAAATACAATGCTCTTGGGAATATGCATTCCTCCCATGAGGATTTCAGTGAAACCAGGCAACAGTTAGCTAAACAGAGTTTAACTCGACCATCTGCTGTTAAATAATTCTGTATTTTCCTTTTTCTTTTAACGATCAGTTTCTTTAAACTTGTATTTCGCTACAATGTGTTGTGTTCATGCAAAAGCAGAGAGTATTTATTGCAAAATTTTATGAAGAAAAATATCTTTTTTCCTACAGTCATAACCTTCCAGTGCACGGTTTACAACTACTCTTAAATTTGTAGAAGGTTTCATGTAGCTTTAAATTTCACCATTTTATTCTATGTATTCTGATAATCTCGTGAAAAAAATTAAGTGTCGCGCTTTTGTTTTGTATTGTTTTTATTTTTTGTTTTTGTTCAATCCAGAGTAGAAACGCGAAAATGTTTATTCCGAAACATAAGCGTTAAAAAGATCGAATGTCCCCCCCCCCCCTAAGTTTACCAAGCGCGAAGTGTATAGTGAGAGAAAAAGAAAGAAACATTACTTTGATGTTGTGAGTTTCGTCCCATTTTTGTACCACATAAAAGATGGCGAAGGATCTGCAAATACATCACACGTTAAACTGCCACTGCCAGTAACATCAATTAAAAGTTCTGGAGGAGGCTCTGCTGTCCACTTTGGAGCAACTGAGAACAAAATCAATATGATCGGTTAATAATTGTGACAAAAATGATTTAATAAAAACCCTTCTTCCAAGACTTAAAGTGTCCTCTTAGACGGAAATGCCTCTATTTACAATTACCTCTTCAACTCCGTCTATACCTAATCCATGCACGTAAGTATCGCCCAGTGTGAGGGAAGCGGGATTCTGGAATAAGGGAAATTTTTGCTTGTGGAATCCGGAATCTTGGAAAGTTTGCTTGCGGAATCCGGAATCCTGTGCTTTGGAACCCTGAATTCAGCTCAAAGAAACCTGAATCCCACTAAAGATTGGAATCCAGAAACCAAGTTTCTCTGATAAAGAATTCCGAATCCAGTACCTGGAATCAAGAATCCAGGACGTCTTGCGATAATTCGATCATTTAAAGGGGTGAATGGAAGCGCCCTAAGGCCATTTACCTTTCACTCTAAGTTGTATATCATAGACTTTCGGATTTCCAACATTCTTAGAATTTTCTGCTTCACAGCGGTATTTGGTTTGATGTATTTTGTGTTTTACAGATATAATGTTAAGCAATCTTCCATGGAAAGCATCGGCGATCTCAAAATTGTCCTTTCCATTCACAAGGGTTTCCCATTTTCCATCTCTGTTAATTTTCCAGGTTATTTTTGGTTCAGGTCTGGAAGTAAAAAAATAGCAGCCAGAAGTTGTCAGTAAAACAATAAATAGCAAGTGCTCACCAAGAAGTGTATTTTTATCGTTATTTTTTTCCTACCAAGGTAACAACATTCCATTACATAGAGCGATGAAAACGTTCTTTACCGCTAGTCGTTCAAAAAGCCGAGCGCACAGTTCTAAAGAGGATTAAAAATGGGAAGGCAAGCCGTTCAAAACGGATGCCATGAACTACTGAACGGTTCAAGAAAATTATTTAACAAACAATAAATCTCAATGGCTGAACGCCGGGCTAAACAATTTCTTTAAGCGAGCTAGCAGCTAGCTATCACAATTAATACACTCAGTTGTAACTTACGCAAAGCACAGCGTTTGGATTGAAAGCGTTTTGACCTTCCATTTTAGTCGCCCGCACTCCCGAACCTTTGGTTATTACTAATTATTATTATTATTATTATTATTATTATTATTATTATTATTACTATTATCGCCATCGTCATTGTCATCATCGTCATCTTATCATTATTATAATCGTTATCGTTATTTGTCCATTGAACTCATGTTCCAACTTACCTTCCGGCTGCAAGACAATAGAAAGTTTTATTTTTTCCCTCCAAAGCCTCTTCTTGAGTAGCAGACATAAATTCCGACTTCCAAGAAGGCTCTCTTAGTGTCTTTGGATCTGTTTGATCTAAGACAAAATACACAATACTGTGTAAAACATTTCATTTACCAGCTTGTCTGGACACAGGCCTGCCCAGAGGGAATGTGCACGAACGAGACTCAGGTCCCATGCAAAGTGCCATCCCTACCCAATACCACAATCCGTAAAGGTTGGCCACACCACCGGGGTCGAAGACCCCTACTCTTTTCGAATAGTGATGAGGGTTCTTTTACGTCCCACAAGAACAAATCAGTGAAAGTGCAGTGAGACGGGACTACGGTTTTTTGTCCTTATCCGAGAAGACTAGAAAATCTAAACATTTGCAGATGTCATTACAAAGGCAGCACTTTCTTCCCAGTTATTTAAAGACCCTGAGTGTTGGTCCGGCTGGGGTTTGAACCCTCGACTTCCCGTTCAGCAGACCGGCGCTCTCCCAATTGATCTAACCAGGCCTTGCTTAGGCTTTATTCACACTATTCATAAGAACTGTGATTTCAGCGTGCTTTCTGTGGATAGCTTTTAGTGTCGGCACGAAAACCCGACGGGATTCAGTGGGGGATTCCGCCCTCCAGATAGGTGGCGGGGGAGGGGGGGCGGTCATCTAGACCCTAAGATAAGAAGGGGGGAGGTCAAAGAAATTTTTTTCGGCCCTTCGGGCTTCAGTTTTGTCTAAAAATAGGGGGGCCCTCCCCTGGATCCTCCACTGGGATTGAATTACATTTTGTGCCCGTTATTACGTTTTGACCACATCTTTGCCTTGTCTCTTTACGGTGTCTTTCTAGGCCTTCTCCCTGTTCATGCATTCCGGTGAGATAAGCGAGACGAACGGTCGGGAAAACTCGCTCGAACCACGCGACCCTAAACGCAAAGGGACCGGCACTAGCACTGTTAGTGTCCTTCTCAGAGAGGTGTCCGTCTTATTCAGAGACAAATAAAGGAAGAATAGAAAGCCAGAGACTTACTGTGAGTGTCCGTTTTATAGAGGTGTCCGTTAAGAGAGACACTACTGTAATGAGGCCTAGAGACTGAAAGCAGTATGGACACCATACCGAAGCCACCGAAATCAGACGGAGAGTTAGTACAGGCTCTAAAGAAAGGCGACACACATTACTAGCTACAAGTCCTGTAGACTTACTTCACTGTTAAGGGAAAACAAAGAATTCACCTTGATTTTTCTTTGTTAACTTTAAAAGACTAGAAGTTTCAAATCTTTTAGCTGCAGAAATCTCACAATGGATTCCTTGATTTTGATATCCCTCCAACTCTTTGAGATCGTCCTCAGTCACAAACATTATGAATAGATGACCTGTCTGTGTGATGGCTCGTCGTTCATTCCCCTTGAACTGTATTTTTTGATTAGTGCTTTTCCCCATCCAGGAATAGCTGACGCCATAACTGGGAGAGTGCTGAGGACACGCATAACTAAATTCCTCCCCAAGGTCAACACTCTGCACCACCTGTTTAGTTTCCAGATCGTTAAATTTCCCTACAACTGTATAAAGGAAACAAGAATATTATAAATTTGTCAGGGCTGTGCTTAGTAAAGCTCCTTAACTCCCCTCCCCGCCCCCTCACCAAGCATCTCCACCATCCACCATTAGTTTGAGGGTCTTAATGGGGTGGTAGCTTTGCCCGGACTGGTAGCTTTGCGGTTGACGGTTAATTTTTTTCCAATTTTGACGGTTGACGTTTACGTTTTATGCGTTTTGACGGCTGACGGTTAACCTTATTGAGACCATCTTATTTTACTTAAAATTGCTTCAGGCAAGCATGATGAAAAATGTTGCAAAGCACGCGGGGCTAACCGTATTACTTTGTCTTTATTTTGTTTTGCTTTTGTTGTTGTTGTTTTGATTGTTGCTTTCTTGCTTTGTCAGTATTTTGCCTTCCTTTTACTGTTGTTTACGTAAGGGGCTGTGCTTACAAAATGTAAGCCACGTTTGATCCGTGATCGGATCTGCTGAGCCTTAGTGAAATCCTACCTCCTTAGTTGGTAATTCTTGGAACCATTTTGATTATCGTCATCACTTCGAATTCACAATGTTGCATTATTCATGCGATAAAGTAAACTTACTGTCACGCTTGTCACACAAGGTTTGCCGTCATTTTTCCCTGTCGTGCTTATGCGTAAGTTCACCACTGGCTTAAAGACTACCGTTAAGATCGAACACTGTTAACCAGCTCAACAAATTAAACATTCGGTAATGAAACCTAATGAATTTCACTCGTTTGATTGATTTTAAATGGGTTCGGCAATTGAACAAAGTCAACCTAGCCAATTTTTTGTCAGTGGTACAACGATTTCTCGCTCGCTGATTGGTCGAGAGCTATGGTCGATAAATGCTACGCGCGCTGTGATTGGTCGTTGCCCAAGATCTGTTAGTGTACATACGCACGGTTGATGTCACGGGAAACCTGAGTGTTCTCTAAGTTTTGTCCAAAATGGCGCGGTTTTGAAAATGTTTGCGAGATTATTTCGGATTAAGAAAGTGAGTTCGCCTCGGAAAAAGTTTAACAGGAGCTGTTTGCAAGTAAGAAAAACAGACGACTTGGAAATGTTTTCAGATTTTGAAAGTGCCCTTACCTGTAACAGCGACTTTTATTTTTCTGCTGAACGTCGCAATGCCCGTAACAGTGTCTCTTACAAAACATTGGTAGTGCCCATTATGCGCACTTTCTAGGTAACTTCCATATAAGGTTCCATTGGCATCAACGGTGAACTTAGTATCTGAGGTAGAAATTGCTGTGTCGTTGTGCTTCCAAGTCCATTGTAAGTTATTTCCGCTAGCACCACACGGCAATTTCAAGGCATTTGCTCTTTCAAACTTGACATCTTCAGGAGCTACTAAATCCTTTGTTAGAAAATTAGAAATTTTTGGTAGATCTGATTGCTGTTGACCTGCAATTTAAACATACAGAGTACAGTTAAACCTTGTGAAGCGGCCATCCCCCGGGTATCGGTATTGATCTTACAGATAACAATTCATCGCAATACATTACGAAATTATGAAACTTTTTGATATTCTCATAATTTTCCTCTAAATTCAAACATTACAACAGTCAGAACTTGTGTGCAAGCCCTGTATCAATGCACTACAGCTTCACTGATAACATGACTTGTGTAATTACCATTTGTTAGTGTTGAGAAACAGGAAACTGAAAGAAAAAGAATGATCCCCGACATCGTAAAGAATCAAGCACACCTGCAAGGAAAAACATGAATTATACCTCAATACAAACACAGTATGGGAGCAAAATAGTGAGGAAATTGTTATAAGCGGAATTTCGTAAGAACTGAAACACTAAGGAAGTTGTTATAAGCATGAAGGAATTTCGTAAGAGCAAAAGAAACTCCATATCAAAGTGCTCGTGCCACTTGAGTGCCCTTGAAAATCCATACATGTTTTTATGTCTCCTCCCCGGTTTACTGAAACACTAACAATAAACCCCCCTTTACTGCCAACAGCCGAGCTTTGTTTGCTAGACGCCTAACTTATGAAACAAAGAAAACCGAGACTGTGGTCTGGGATTAAAAAACATGGCCAAGTTAATGGCCGGTTTTATTCAAATCTGTAAAATCATCTTATCAATGTTGAAATATTAAATAATGTTTACGAATTTATAGGTCTAGCAAAGATGAGGGCCAGAAGAAAAAGGCAACTAAACTACAAGAAATACCCAAGCAAGTAAAAAAGGTGGAAGATTTGGGAGGAGGCGGGTCGATTGCTTGTTCAAAGGATAAGCGGGTCAGCTATCGAAGATTCGGCTTGATGTCAGCTTTCAGACCGAGAGGATTAACAAAAGGTTACACCCTCTTATAAAAGGGTCTCCGCGAGATAATGAGATCCGGGCTAAGTGGATTTACTTTGAGTGGCCTTACGATAGGAGCTCGTAATTATTACCCAAAAGTAATTTTACTTTTCGTCTTGTGATTCTCATGCGATCGTAAACCATTGTAAGATAATTCAAAGTTCACATTCGAGAGCCTCTAAGCCTTTGAAGCCGCAAACGACCCCACCCAACCCCCAAAATCA